TTTTTTTTTTTTCAAGTATTATTGTGCCATATGGATATTGCCGTACGGACAAGGGGTCATAATATAAATCATAATGTAGATAATAAATTTTAAGAGAATTGACATGCAATTTTTCTCAGGCCCCCTAATAATTAATTTAACCTAGTTCTTCTCACTTTAGCTTTGCCAACATAAATAACCTAAGCATGCCTTTATTTATAATGCCAGAAAATATTAATTGGGTGTGGGGCAGAGGTAGGGTGGGGGAGATTAATATATATATCTTTCTTTTTTTTTGTAATATTATAAATCCAAGTTTAATATGATAAATTTACCTTGTTTGCCCTTAATTATATTTATTGGCTGCCAAGCAAGAAAAATATAAATTCCAACGAAATGTTCAGTAATACATGCTAACATAGTCTAAATGGTTCACAATTCCAGTCAATATTTCAATGTTATATAACATCGTTTTCAATTAGATTTCTGTTGGATTTGAACGACAAATCTTCAAATTCAAGGGTAGTCCAACAGAAATATAATTCCAAAATTTTTAATATTGTTTTCCGCTGTAATATCTTATAAAATTTTTCAATAAAATAATAACATTAAAATTGCGTTAAGACTTTTTTTAATATATTTTTATGGCTGATTTTTAAGGTAGAAATCTTATTTAGTACACTTTATTAAATATATAAAATCAGTCTTCACAATGCTAATAAATTGCAAAGCTAGCCTTTCGTTTTTCCTTCTTGCAGATCAGACATCATTTCATAAAGTTTTTCTTGAATAATTACCTAAAATATTTAAATTTGTAGGGCTGATGGAAAAAGAATGTTTAGTCGAAAAACTGTATCAGAAATTTGATGTAGGGGAAGAAAACAAATAAGTGACAAATTTAACATTTTCTTGAAATTTGGTTTCTGAGCCATTAGATAAAAGGTTAAATTAGGGTGACAAGAAATTGTATTTTTATCTTAATTTAAGTTGTACTTGATAAAATTATATTTACCTTCTCATTCAAATGGGATCACCTATATATTTGCCATTCTATTTAAAACCTTTTAAATTGGGTGACTTAGATGGGTTTTGTAAAACTCATGTGGAGTTGGTGAACTCAAACTTTTTAAATTGGGTGACGTAGATGGATTTTGTAAAATTTTCATGGAGTTGGTGGACTATTTGAGACTTCAAAACATTCTTATTCGAGATTTTTTAGAACTTTCACAATGAACTTTTTAATACATATTAAGACTTTTATATACTTCTAGTTATAAATATTATGTTTGCATGAAATTATCATGAACGTCACATAATAACTAATATCAATAAAGTTAAGCTATTTTAAAAAAATAAATTACATCGAAATGAGTTATGTTGGTATACATTAGCTATTCCACAAGAATCTTGTAAATTAATCCTCTAAAAAATCAGGAATCAATCCTGTAATTGTTATTCGAAATGAGCTATTCACGAACAATTACTTTAGTGTTTTAGGATTATTAAATGAGCAAATCGATCCGGACTTCAACGAATTGCCTTACATTTGTTTGTTAAACGAGCAGAAGCTCAAATATGTATTATTCATCACTGTTACAATGACACCAATAATCAACTCAGTCAATTATATTTATCTAATTATTAATTAATTTTATATTTTATATTTTATTGATTATTAGGTTGCAATATTATAAAAATATTATTAGGATATATTTTTACAAGACACAAACATTGTCGAAAATCAATATTTTATATTTGAAAATACATAAAATAATTGTATCTTCTATAGATATCAATAATACGTAAAATAATTGTATATCAACTGATAAATACTCTTAACAAATAAAATAAATATTTTAATATTTGAAAATAGTCATTTACAAACAAAAAAGAGAGAGAACAAATACATTATTGCGAAGTACAAACTATACAAACATTTAATCAAATTCACAAGCAAGTAAAATGAGAGAATAAAAGTATATATACACACATAAAATAACAATAAAAAGAATAAATAAAATAAAAAATCACACAAAATATTTGTAATGAAAATAAAAATTATGCAAGCTATCAAAATAAATGAGTTAAATAACAGAGTATGAAAGTGATATAAGATATAAAATCATGTACATTAAATATAATTAATTAGTTTATTAGTAACTATTATATTGTAGAATAGTTAAAAAGTATAATTATTATTTAATTAATGTAAAATGTAATAGTTTATTACCATATATAATTAACCTAAAAAAGAGCGAAAAATAAAAGAATTATCATACTTTCTTTGCCTTCAATTATATATATAGATTCGTAGATGAAGCCAACTAGTAGAATTTTGTATCCCACATGGAGTGTGAAATGAGACATCAATTATTTCACGTGATAAATAATCGAGATTTGCTATTTCAAAAGGTTCAATTCTCCAAAGAGTTTCAACCAAATTCCATTAACGTATTGAATTATTAGTACTAAAGACTGTGATATCCACCGCATTCCTAAAACCAAACGTAGCCGTAACTTTATTCACAATACCAACATCTCAAAATTAATGTTGAAACTCATTAATTTTCCAGAATCTTACATGAGAACACATCATCATAATGTTATATAAAAAAAAAAACTANATAATAAGGTTGAAATAAAAGTTGTTAGTGGGTCACAAAATTAGGAGTGTTGGACCATGATTATGAGTAAAAAATGTAAAGTTTTGGAGTTAAATGAATGTTTCATTATCAGCATGTACCAAAAAAAAAAGGGGGAAAAAGAAAAAGAGAATTTGAAGTAGATAAAACCAATTTTGAGTGGTTCCATTATGTGTGTTTGTGCTTCCTTTTACTTTGAGGGCAAAAAGTGATGCAAATTGGCTTATTGTAGTTTTCCCTTATGTGTTGTCCTTTTTACCTTCGTTTTCACACTTTTTGTGTTATACATCATACCTAAAAGAGTTTAAATGTGATTGTTCCACATGTGAAAGACCCGAAATTGCTCACCTACCAATTGACAGCATTAAAATTTTGTGATCTTTTATTATCTACATAATTATCGTATATGATATGTTAATCTCTTATCATATCAATTCGTGAGCATATTGACATGTTTATCTACATCCTCACAAACGAATTCTCATCTAAATGGGTTAAATCTTTAAACAGAATGATTTACTTTAGCCTAACATATTTTATAAGTTTGAGTTTTTAAATTCTATGGAGTCAACGGATGACTCTTTATGGTAGGAAAACTATATATTGGGAGAAGCCAAAAAAGCATCGTGAAGAATTTTATAATCATTATGAAGGCTTTTCATAATCAATTATGATCTGAAAAAAATAAATTTTGTTGAAAGATATTATACAGAATTAATTGTGAACGTTTTTAAAACTTTGGAACAGTGTATGTCTCTCTCGAAAATATTCCTGTATATTTTGAACGAGTTCGACTTAAACTCGAGCACCGTTTAGTTTAGTACACAAGCCGAGTTTGAGCTCACATGGAAGCTCGTTTGTTCAGATCGATAAAGTTTGGGCTAATGCTTTAGCAGCATTAGCTCGTCAACTGTGATACCCCAACTTATGACATGAGACAAATTGAGAAAGTTTGAAAGACTTGATTTGCAGAAGTCATATCAACAGATGCACTTTCTGTTACCCAATTTATAAGAACTCCAAAGTTGAGCACGAGTTGAGCATGCTCAACTTGGAGCAATTATAGAATGAGCGATTTCTTGAGAAATTTTCTCAAGAAACACACGAGTGCTAAAAGCTCGTATTTTTTGGTACAATGGTGACTACCGAGGCGTTACATGAACAATGTTGGAGTTAGTATAATTTTATTGAAGTCCTGATCAACGTAAGTATCTAGAAAGCGGGTCAGATAATGGGCCTTAAATGAATTGAGAGAATGACTAGGTCCATTATTTGTTGTGGCCTAGTTGGATATCAAAACAGGAAACATATGGGAGAGTCCACTATGGTTTATGGGCTCCACTCTCTTGACATGATTGCCACTGTTCAGCCCAATGCAAACTTGGGCTTGCCCCAACCTCCCTCTTCTAATCATCTGCTGCCTGCAAATGACTGTAGTAAAATG